GGGGCTGCACTTGACGGCGGCTGTGCGCAGTAACTTTCACCGACGAGAGACGCACAGTCCCTGGGGGAGGGGGGGGGGGTTGTGCCCAAGTGGTGGGGTGTTCCGCTTTTTATTCAGAGTGTGTGCGTGCCTGTGTGTGCCTGCATTTGTCAGTTGGGTAGTGAATGTTGCTAGAAGTGCACATTTGTAGTTTGCAGTTGCTTTAGAACGGGGGTCTCAAACACGTGTCATGCGGCCTGGGACCTGCACATTGCTATGTTTGTCCCGTGTTTGTTTTTCATAAGTACCGTATTTACTCGATTCTATCGCGCCCTCGATTGTAACGCGCACCCGATTTCCACCGCGAAAAAAAAAAACGTAAGACATCGATTGCAACGCGCACCCATTTTTTCTCGCTGGCCCGCACGATCACACCACTCGAAAAAACGACTCCTTTCGGGAGCGTCTTCCATTTAAATATGAGGTACGGGCGAAGCTTGTGCCCATCTGACGTGTAACAGAGCATTGCCGTCACTGTAGTTTTACCGTGGACCGATGTCAGCACGCGAACTTGCTTCGCCCCCTTCTTCTCGACGGTTGTGGTGCCAGGCATGTCGAAGTAAAGAGGCGCCTGATCGGCATTCCTGATTTGCCCAAGCAGGTAGTCGTTGTTGCACCGCAAGTTTAGGACGAACCTCTGAAAACTGTGAAACTTTTCATCGTACTCCTCCGCAAAACTTTTCGCATATGCATGTTCCCCTTCGGAAGGAAAAGCCTTTCCTCTTCATAAAGTTAGTTAGCCAGCACCTGCTCGCTTAAAACTGGCTCCGCATTAGACATTTTTCTAAGACTAATTGCACAGCCCGCACTTGGAGCAGTTCTGCCGTCACGGGCCGCTGTGCTGCTCGCTGCTAAAGCACATACTCGCCGAGCAGCTCTTTAATTTGCGGAAACCGACCCTGCTGTGGTCCACTGAAGCCTTTGCGTAAAGCTTTGCCGTCGAAAATCTTCTGCTTTTGTTTCCGCCGGTCCCGCACGCACGTTTCGGGAACTCCGAACGACCGCGATGCGGCCCGATTTCCGTCCGTTTCTGCACACACGATGACTTTTCTTTTAAAAGCGGCATCATGGTGCACTCGAGTTTTTGGAGTCGGCCATTCCACGCCGTCGATGCTAATGCACTACTAGATCACGAATTCCTCAGCACACGTACGAAGTACCGCACATGAGAAACACATAGGCAGAAATGGACGACGCGCCATGCCGACGCACGTAGGGGGCGGCCATTTTAGATTTGCCGATGGCAATAGATTGGCCGTAATTTTTTGTTCGTACTCGATTCTAACGCGCATGCGATTTATGAACTCGCTTAACCGGAAAAAAGGTGCGCGTTAGATTCGAGTAATTACGGTATGTCATGTGCATGAGCGACACGGGAACAGTTGGTCTAAAGCACTGTCATCGCGAGACGCTCGTGTGGTCACCATGCATGACCTTGAAACAAAAACGGTACTTCAGATTTGGCATCCAGGTTTCACCCATTTTGTCGATCGGTATCGACATTTCTTGTTTGAATCCTGGCCCCAAATCTTCTCCAGAAATGACCCGTATGTGAGATATGTTTTTTTCAATTCAGTGGTAGCATTTGCTGACAATGTAAAACTTAACACCAAGGCTCTCCCTCGCACCCTTTCGCTCTTAACTTCTTCCCTAACCCAGCCCCTGTGCGATTGAATTCTGTGACTGCAGCCTGCTGCATGGGACAAGTTTGAGACCCCTGTATTGGAAGGGTCCAGAGCACCTTTCCGAGTTTATAACTGAACAAGGTACACAAAATTGTTTCTAAAAACATATTTGCTGTTGTCAGACCTTTTCTTAATGAATTATGCGCGAGTATTTAACCGAAATATGTAAGAGGTTCAATTTTTTTCAAATAGGGTAGGTTACTGGTGCACTTGTGGCTGTAACTGATCTGTATGATGGTAAAGCAGTTATTGTTAATCTTTAGTGCCATCACAAAGGTAAGATGCTGAAGAATGCTTGCACTTAAGAGCCTGGCAAAAGGTTACTCTGCAGCAGCAGCAACAGCTTGCTTATTTACACTTGTTTTTAAATGCTGATAGTGGCATTTTATTATGTATACTGTATGCTACGGGTTATTGTGCATGCCTGTTTCTTCCAGCATAATTCACAGTGAGTTATTTCAGACGAAAAAACGTTCCTGTATCGGTGAATAAAAGCAGTACACTCTAACCTCGATATGACGAGCACGGTTGTAACGAAATATCGGTTGCAACGAAGTTGATGTACAATAGTCTAGCAACAGATGCAATGTTAAAAATTACCCTGATAATGAATTTTTGGATATAACACTTATTTCTGTGTGAGATGTAACTTCGTTGTAATGAGGTTTCAATGTAGTAGCATTTATGAATGCTTCCATAAAATGCAGCTTTGTGCTCTACTTTGCCTCAGAGTGTGGCTTTTGTCACCTCATTAACTGGAACTAACAGACAATAATTCATGATGTAATAAATGTGAAGAAAGTAGAGTAGATCAAAAGATAACGTTCCACTGGGCGGGACCGAACTTGCGGCCTTCGAATAACGCTTCTGATGCTCTGCCAACTGAGCTGCTGGGGCCTTCGTTCGATCGTCCACTTCATGGGGTACTGTATATGTGCATTTACAACTGGGAGTATCCAAGACAACAAGTGTCGCTGGTTAAGTCCCTAGCAGCAGCAAGCTATTTTTTCGTCCACTTTTCTTTATTGATGTTAGCATTATGATTACTGCGCACAACATTCCCTATACCTTCCTTAACTTCCTTGTCTGATAGATGTGATTAGTTTTGTGTGGAGCAAAGAAAAAAACTAGCCCTTTGAAATTTACCTTCCTTTGTTCTTGCCATTTTGTCGCTCACGAAAGCTGTGCATGTGAACCATTCCTTCGATCAGTTATAGCCTAAGAGAAATTAAAGCTTCATTCTCAATTATTGGTCTTCTAACCAAGAAGAAACCTATATTTATTTCCTATGTAACCTCTTCCTAATGTTAGGTAGATGCGAATTACTACCTTTCATGATTCACCAGGCATCGCTGCAGTGCCCCGACAGTATAGAATGCCATTGGGTGCACCAACGTGCGAGAACAGAGGCTGCACTTACCACTTCGATGTTGGATGTGTCGGCTGAAAGGATACTTGGCTGAGTGTGTGGAACTTGATCTGGTGCCAGTCTTGGTTTGTACAGTTTGTGCGTCACGTTTGGTCCATCTTGACAAGCCTCCGCACTGCCGAGAGTGCATAAGCTATCACGATCGTGTTCGTCCGCTTCAAGTTGCATGGAGCTGAGTGTAGTGACTCTCCGCCCCGGCACTCAGAATTTGTACCTTTGGTAACAGCTGCGAGCATCGCGTTGCGGTAAGCTGAAGTTGGGAAGTTATCTCTCTCTTTCTCTCTGGCACATCTGATCCTTGTTGTCTGGCCTTTTGGTTTGCAGCACTCAAAACGAGCTGCACCAGCATTTCACTTCAGCTAATAAATTCATCATCAGAATATGTGTGCTCTCACCAAGTTGCTCGCAGAAGCACCCTCAACAAGGCCACAGGGCTAGTAACACTATGGTTTTTCTTGGTGGCAGCTCTCAAATGGCATCTGAACTGACAATTCGTACGCCTGGTGGTTTCTGCTAGTACGCAAGTCCACAATCGAACACCTGGTATGCTTTTGCGCCGCCTTTATGCCAGCCGAGCGAGGGAGCTATGTATCCCAGGTGGTGCCTTGCTGTAAATCTCTTCTCTGAATGGTAATGACTTTTTTCTTCTCTTTCGGCTCTAGTTTTTGAAATGGCTATTCTTGCCAGCTGTGGCGCTTCTTCTTCTGTTCCAAATGTAGTAGATTTCACTGAGGCTTTCCTTCATCGATGTTCTGGAGCTAGGCTTTTTATGCAGGCTGGAATGCCGTTGCAGTTGGCTTGTAAAGGTGCTCACTTGATTGGATATAAAAATACTAAGTTGTCCCAATGCTGCTGCAGTTTGCTAGTGTGCTGTCTCGTAATTTCCACGATATTGAACCCCGTCGCTCGTATTGAACCCCATCCTTTGCGGCAAAGCAAGACAGTGATGCGTAGAGTTTCTCACAAAAATACCTAGAGAGAAATCTGGCCCTAGTGAGCTGCTGGATGCAAGGGAATGACTACGTGAGCTTCGAACTTGACTTGGATTTGTATCGTTCACGTAGTGCCCGGACACCTCGAAGATGCACCTGGCTTTAACGCTTTCCCTGTGTCAAAATGACTGAAACAGCACATAATAAGCTGTCTATTTTTGTCATTGCACAGGACCGTGTTTTGTTTAACACTGGAAACTTCTGTCTTGATGTACAATGTTACGAAGCGTAAAAAGTAACCAACGACTGCTAATCTTGGCAGACAGACGACAAAGCGAGCGTTCCCTTTCCACTTCATGTCTTCTCTTTTGCTGTTTGGCTGTGCCATCAAGGTAAGTGGGCATTTATTTTAGAATATTACACACGTAAACGAGATTAGCTTATAACAGCTTTGTTTTAGAGAAGCTCTATTTGCGCTAAGCGTTTATACGCTTCCGAGACGAAACCTCGCTCCACACCATCCAACACAAGCCTCGCAGACACGCATATTATAATTCCAAGCGCTCCCAATGGCTCCCCTTGAAAAATTTTCATCGACGGTGGCGCCAGATTTCTCTAGGTATTTTTGCTCGAAACCCTATGGAGTGATATACGTCACAGAGCAAGTTGATCCAGAGCAGCCAGCCTAAGCATCGGCAGGCTCCTGGCTGACCTTAGCAAAACGGGACTTCAGCTGATGGACTTCTGCTGGTGGAATTTGTTTTTCTCGTCTGCACCCGGTTCCGAACTATCTTATTTCGCTAGAAGGCCTTTGCGCACTTTTGGCCTAGCCCAAGCACTGTTGCATTAATTAACTGTGCTAATCTGATCTGCTTTCTTGCACGACAATCGTCACCGGCTCCTGCCCACCTGCAGTCTGAAGCGACCGAAAGGCAGCACATTGACTTGTTCCAAGAACAGCCGGTGGAAGGTCGTCGCCGCCGGGCCCTCAACGTACGCTACATCGACGACGACATCCTGCTTCTCTGATGAAAGAGGTAGTACGTCGTCGTCATCGTCATCCGCATCACCCGAGCAGCAGCAACAGCCACTTCGCTGCCCGCCCCTTTACCTGCGGCGGGAGAGTACGCCACCGCTAGCCACTGTAGCCAATGCGGTTGCCACAGCGCCCGTCCTGCAGATGTCCTGTCGGTGATGACAACGCGGCAATGAGTGTGTTGGCCGAGAACACTGGGAGCCATTGAGGCCTGAACAAAAAGACAGTGTTGTCATTGTGTGTGCGTGCGTGTGTGCGTAGCTGTGAACTTTGCAATTGCATAATGAACGGTAGTGTTGGGTTTCAGCTCTGGACATTAAGTGCAACCCCGTTACAGCGAGATATAGGTCATTTAAAGGCACAGCATCATAGCTACAGTGTTCAAACACAATGTATTAGTGTATGTGCCTGCTCACAGCACCTATGTTGATGAGCCAAATGAACCAGTCTCTCTAATGATCTGTGAATCGCAGTTATTGCCCACTTGTGCGATCCTGTGCGGTGTGCTTGTTTTGCCGCATTCGCACTCGTCTATAGGAGTATGTCAAGGGCATGTGCCAGCACTGTATAAATTTGGCTCCTCCCATGACACAGTGCATTACCTTATTATACTAGTGCTAGCGTGTGTCCTAGTTGATTGTCATTGGCAAGGACACCTTGTAGTTGAAGTATGCAGAAAGTAGCACATTGCCCATAGAGTCTGCCGAGCTTTTTGCCCGGTAGCCTCGATGAAAACAATGACCCACCCAGATGTTCACCAGGGCTGTAGTTGGCGTGTGCGCATCCCTGAAAATGTCCTCATGGTGCATGAGAACTGGAATTAAATTGATGGTCATCAATTTTCGGTTCCGTGTTCCATCAGCGTAGAGATATGTCATTTTGATTACTTTCTAGTGTCAGCAACTCTTACTACTGACATTTGAAAATATCTGTTAATCAATCTGTTATAGTAGAAATATGTCCCGCGCATTGGCAGCCCCGTGGTTCTCAGAACCACGGTTATGTCCACACGAGCAAACATCTTCATAACCATAATGGCGCTCTGCACGCCATGTTTGTGGTGGCAATATTTGGCTGAATGATTTTATTTGTTCACTTAAGGTTTTTCTTTAGTTCGTTGTAAACTTTAGCAGGGCTGTTTAGTAGTACATTAAAAACTGCAATGTTTTGCAATGTCAGAACAAATATGGGGGATAATCAGGCATTCTGTGTCGACAATTTTCATGGCTTAACTATCGGTGCAGACTATCGCTGTGTGTAGCTGCTAATGCTACTACACTAATTATTTTTGGTGTGCATTCTGTTGGACAGCATGACTATTAGTCTAAAGTGAACTTTAAATTTTTGGAATTCTCTCAGCCAACATTTACTCTGAGTGTTTGCTTAGCCAACTGTCGTTCCCGGCTTCGGCCTGATATGCCCAAAGCTCATCCTCTCTGTCCAACTTGCTTTGAACTGTCCGATTCTTTCCTCTTCCAAGCTATGTTAGGCCAGGTGATGCGATGTTGCCATTTGTCACACAACTCTCACAACCTCGTTCTACAATATAACAGTGCTCATTGCTGCCACAAGTGCTGTTGGCAAATTTGGCCGTAAATTTGATGGCAGCACAGCTCATTATGATAAACCACCATTTAAGGGATCCTCTGCCATCTCTCACGCCGTGTCAGTGCAGAACGAGTCTGCAAACTCCCGTTTATGTCTGTACGTAGGAAAGCAGGTTGTGTCCCTTCAAAGAAACCTTAACCCACTAAAACGTTGACCCGTATGGGTAAACGTTTTAGTGTAATTTCACCTTGTTGCCGTGGTTTTCAGATGTCTCTTCATCATCGGGAGATTTCACTTGTGCGGGACAAGTTGCGGCAAAGTGCAGCATTTGGTCAAAACTGATGACATTTGCCAAATTGCGTGCAATCTTTCATATTTACTAGATTCTTGAATGCGTCGTTTTGTTTGATCTCATCGTTAGAAGTCTGACGGCATATGTTTTTTGTTATTTGGCTTTCAGTCAGTTTTTGTTGTTAATTTTAAATTTTCTTTGTTGTCGAAAACATAACTGTGTGGGGTTTGTTTATCTCTGCATATTCATGAAGACATGCTTCTTTCATTGCCTTGTGTCGTTGAGCATGTGTCTGTCCCTATTGGAACTTGGAAGCCTTGCTATGTGTTCGTGCTTTCTGTGTTCTAGCACGAATCTGTTTTTCTTTTACGGGTCTCTGCTTTGTCTTGTTTTACGGCGGTAATCACGCAGTCTCCTTCACTCTATCCCTCATCTTCTTTGTTTTCAGCAGTAAAGTTACTGTTGGGATTTTACTGTGCATTTCTAAAAGGGTGGGCAAAATTGGCTGTTGTTATCTGTGCACGGTTATTTTCTTCTTCATAAAATGGCATCCCACATACCACTGCTGTAATGCATTTTACTCTTGGCTGCTAGCAGGTAGCTGGAATGAGTACCTTATCCTGCGTACTTTTGCGCACTTCGATGCACCATTACGTTTGTTTGCTCTCTTGAGCCACGCGTAGCATATTTTAATGTGCCGTAGAAACACGACGGCATACACAACGCGTAAGGTTTTGTTTGGTAAAAGGGGTGGGTGAAGTGGCCTATGTTCTAAGCTCGATAAGTGTCCTATGTTCTAAGCTCGATTAGTGTACCACTTTATTTCGTTGTGTAAATAATTTTTCCTCCTTTCGATTTTTTCTTTACATGGCAGAGTACTTGTGGTGTTCACAAATTTTCTCCCATGCTAAATTGTGCGTGTGCGTATGAAATGTGTGGTATTTAAACGGTGTTCGGTCAACAAGCACATGTACAGAAGCATATTTCATGTGTAGAAGAAGAATCGTATTCACAAAAGCCATGACACAAGTCCAGAGCCACGACATTGCGAGATCAGAAAGTTTACACGCAGGACAGGCATCCTGTTTACCTAGCGGACATTCATGTATAATGTTTTGCATCTCTGTCACCTCCTGTAGTTAGAGCAAAGACTTTATTTCATGTTTGATGACAGATTATTTATGAACACCTGCCTATTTTGGCCTGTATTATTGCTTGCCAGCCAAATAAAAGTCGTGTTGTACATAGCATTGTCTTATGTTTCGAGTTGCTGTAAAGAATGCTGTATAGAATGAATGGTTAACCTTTCTCGGCAAAGAAGAGAAGGCTACCGACCCCAAGTGGGCGTGCGCCACCACTGAAGAATATAATCCCATGATTGCGTACGTTTTTTTTTTTTTTTGTGAGAAAATCATTTTTAAAAAATTGCATGATGTTCTACGAGATGGTCTTTATAAAGACACGCATGCACCAAAAAGGTTTTTTTTTTTTTCTTTGCGCAGTCAGTGATGATTTTGCACGTGTGAAAACGTCGCAACTTTTACATGCACCCGACAGTCAAAATGGCGTCTTCGTCTTTAGGTGAGCGCTCGTCGCACGCCCCCTATCAGCTACTCGGACAACTCGACGAAGAAGCTTGTGACGAATTTCACTTGCACAGGTCTTGCCAAAAGCAGACATAAATGGTAAGCAATGTTATTCGCACGCGGCCGTCGTTCGAAACGCGAGCTGAGCCGGACTGATTAGCGGATGAGTACATGTGCGGCAGCTCCACACCCGCAGCTTTCCCTTTGTTGCCAAGAAAAGCTGTCAGTGCCATTTGCTGAAGAATGAAACTGGATTTTGGTGCTGTCAATAGCGGGTGAGGGAGGGGGAATCTCAAACGTCTAGAATTTTTTTTCATTTTTTTAGTTTTATGTTGTGTTACGCAGACAAGCACGCACGAACGTACAGAAAGAGTAGTGTCGCCAGCCCCCCCCCCCCCCCCCCCCCGGTCTGCGAAAGACGCCCCTTTGTGTTATCGTTAGTGAAGTTCACTCTAAACATAGGAAGAAAAAACGTAGGGCCCTGATGGCGCTAACACTGTGGTGAGGGATAGGAGAATCGGTCCCCGAGTTGAACGAACAATGAAGTTCGTTGGGTATCGAGACTCAGCAACACGTTTCGTTTCTGCGTCGCGCGCGCGTATCAATAATTTCGTGCCCGGATTACCAAACGTAGGTAAGCAGAGACGAAGCCGAGTGTTGCGATGCCAACCAACTAAATGTAATGTAAAATTTAGCTAAATGTTGTAATGTGTATGTACACAGAAGTGCGTGCTCTCTGCAGCCCCTGTTTTTGCTCCTCGCAAGATGGCTGCCGGCTGGTTTCCCTCGACATATGGCTGTACCCGTCACTCAAAAAAAAAAAAAAGTTTTATAGTCTTGATGGCTTTCAGCACCTAAGGTTGTTCTCCGCTGCCTCCGATATTGGAGGAATTTCAAAATTTGTGCACCTCGCGTCGTTTTGCAGAGCCTCGGGCATTGAAATTACGCTTCAGCGAGAAATGACGTCATGTTGACGCCATAAACTTTGGCTATCCGTGGCGTCATAACTTTCGTGTAGAAGTGCTGTTGAGCCCCGGTTCTCGTCTTCCCGTGTATTCGATTCGCCTTACCTAGAAATGTTGGCCAGACTTGGCGAAAGACCATGTCAAAGATCGATCGATCCGCATGTTCAGCTGCGAAAGCATATGTGACTGAGCTAATTATGCGCACAAAGTACGTCCACGGTTTAATTAAGCAGTGGTTAGATAGCGTGGCAATGCGTGTAAAATCCAAAACGTAAAAATTCGTTATCTGGTGTCGAAGTTGCCCTTTAATTGTGTTCTTCTTAAATGACTTTTTTTTCCTTATATATATATATATTCGTTTCATCAGTTTTCAGAGCTGTGCTCGGAACAAAAACGATAGCCCTGTTTTTCTTTCCTTTCCTTTTTCAACGCGTTGATAAACCTTCTCCGCCGGGTATCATCCGATTGCGATGGTCAAACAAGGAGAGCATGTCAAACGCACTACTCGGGGCAGTGCATATCTTCCAAAACGCATCTTCCAAAGTGCTAGGAAAACTCTATGGAATGATGGATTTATAAAATTACTTTTGCAGTTACACGCAAAGTTTTTGACGTTCGAGTGGTTCTTGCACAAATATCCTGCACCCAAGGAGGTTATACTAAATCTTCTGGAGTGGCGGTCCCGCATACCCGCCCATGTCTCGAAGTGAAGCCGCGGCGGCCATATTGCTCAGAGCAGAAGGAGGCGGCGCCTGTTTTGAAGCGCCGTGATGCTTGCCGTGCGTTTCGTTATTGCTACAAAAGCACCTGTTTGATATTTTTAGTAGGCGAACGAACGTAGAAAGGGCTTTAATGCACATCTGCTTTAATTTTTCTTGGACATTTGGCGTTTCAAGCGTGTAAAAAAAAAAAAAAAACACGCCAGACCTGCAAGGAACGCGCAGAACAGTCACAGCGAAAGCTGGGAGAGTGGTCTTTCAAAGCCTTCTCTAAAAACTCTTTGGGATGCTACAAGAGCATTGCTGGGTACCCACAGTGCCATAAATAATCATAAATTTTCTGTAGTAGGCCAGCATTCACTATGCTATCCTTCGTCATTCATTGGAGAATCGTACGCGGTATTCGCTACACACTTGTTTGAAGTTTAGTGCATCTTTTTATGCAGTGGCTGATGACGATGAAGAAATATGCGTGAAGTGGTTATGCACCACAGTTAATAGGTGATCAAGAACAAGTTTTTTAATGGATGGGAGCGCTGGACGACCAAGTCGTCACGAAATTCGCATTGTGTGATGCCTCGCTGTTCCTTGATGGTCTAAAACGCTTTATTACTCATATTAATGCGACTCGTTTCCAGACATCAAGCCTGCCTAAAACCAGTTTAGAAACAATTTTCAGCGCTGGCGCGGCTCAGTAGTAGAATGCTGGGTTGGCACGCAGCGGACCCGGATTGGACTCTCATTGTGTCATTGATATTTTTAACTTACCGAGTTTTTTTTTTTTTAGATGCGGAGCATCTTATACTCGCGCCTTGTAGTGCGCCGTCCGCGCCATCCGCACCGCTTCTCGAACATTCGACAGCTGACGCGCGCGCATGCGCCGTCGCCCACTCTTCCACCATCTGTGCATCCCTTCCTCCACTACACACCGCGCGCGCTTCACTCCTCCACCATCTGTGCACCCTTCCTCCTCTACACACCGCGTTCGACATCTACAATTCTCCTGATTCTCCAGTGGACGCGCATGTGGCGTCGCGCTTCGAGAACATTCAACAGCTGACAGTGCATGCGCCGTCGTGCTGTATATATACTCAAGGTCGGCGCTCGCTCGCTCAGTTGCCGCTCGTCGGTTGGTTTGTACGGCGCGTCGACGTCCAAGGTCGCGGTGAAATGAATTCCAACGAATCCACAAACACAATGATCGACGTCCCTTCGACCAGCGCCGCCCTTTCGCATACGTGTGTACGTGTTCACTCATTTAACACCCCCTCCTACAACCACGTTAACCAATTTAGCCATCGACCCAAGTAAGTCGCAATTTAACACCCCATTTCACAACCACGTTAACCAATTTAGCCATCGACCCAAGTAAGTCGCACTTTAACACCCCGTTAACCAATTATATGCTCCGCATCCTCCTCAGTGTTCCCCCGAGGGAAGCTGCGGGCAATTTTTTTTGTTCGATACTAATTACGAGTGGCGGTGGCGGCGGACCCGGCTCTACGCACGACCCGTGTTCTGATCTCGTAACACCTTTGACTATAAAAAAAAAACGTACTCAGGGATATCACACACACACACACACACACACACACACACACACACACACACACACACACACACACATATATATATATATATATATATATATATATATATATATAGCCTACAAACATTACTACAAAAACATAGAGCCTGCAAAAAATTATTCTTACTGTCATTGTGCACCCGGATGCCAAAAGAAAATTTATGGATGCAGTCGCATAGTCGCTAAAATATGGGAGAATAAGCGAATGGGCGAAGCATGCCTACTTAAACATCGAAAGCTGAGCCCAGTGTCCACCTCACACGATTCGTGCAGCCAAATGCTACCCAACAGCTCAACATCGTCGTCTCAAAATGTGATCACAGACGTGTTCAGAAGCGTCTTGTTCAATTAGAGGCACGATACGCAACATTACTAGCACTAAATCAACACGAAAGCCACGCACGCTAAAATGCGCCCATCCGTTTTCTGCCCTGATCAATATGGCGGTGTCGGCTTCAGCTGCGGAGCCTCTCCGCCACTCCAGAAGTTTTAATATAACCTCCTTGCCTGCACCGAGTTTTGTCAGTAACATGTTTTACGACATGCAATTATGTGCCACCTGGTGCATTTAATCTGAACCAAGCTCGAAACTGATTAGCTTGGGCCGTGTAGCAGCGGTCTATATAAAGTTGATCGCGATCAAGAAAACCGATCCGGATCGCTCTGATCGCGATTAAAAGTGGCCGTGTGACTCCGGTATAACAATCCAGGGGCCGTCCCTAGTACCGCACATGCGTCTCACAGATCTATAAGGTTCCCTGGGCACGGCCGTAATCCTCCTGGGTGGGTGCAAAACTTTGTGTCCGGCAAGACGCCACTCCACGAAGCACAAAACGTCTAAACGTCTTGAAACGGGTACAAACGGCTATAGACGTCTTGGTCTTCGAGAAGACCTAAGATAGATACGTTTATGAAAATACGTTATAGCGCACGAAAATGCCCTGTATGGGCAGTGACGTCAGCAGTTTTTGCACTCCTGTGACACAGTGCAGATAACAGGCGTTCATTATCTTTCGTGAAAAGGTTTTCTCTATGTCTGTATGAAGGGGTACAGCTGTCGAGGCGGCAGGTGTAGCTGCCTTTGAGGAGAAAATGCCGCGGACATTTAAATAAAATCTGTACGTTCTTGGGCTGTTATTGGTACACGTTTACATGAAACGTGTGTTACCATGAAGGGAAAATTCGAGCAGGTGTAGCCAGAATGCTTTCCCTTTTTTTTTTGGGGGGGGGGGGGGGGGGGAGGGAGGAGGGGCTCAGTCATATATGTATATGTCATATATGTGGTTGAGCCCCTGTGAACATATATGTACTAACTATGAACAGATATGTATAAATTATGCAGATATATGTACACTTTATGTATATGTTCGTGCGTGCGTTGCTGGGAGCT